AATCTGCGGCAACTGTGTGATGCCATCATGTCAATATGGACCAAAATCTCTGAGGAATGCTTCCAGCACCTTGTTGAATCTATGCCACGAAGAAGTGAGGCAGTTCTGAAGGCAAAAGGGGGTCCAACCCGTTACTAGCGTGGTGTACCTAATAAAGTGGCCGGTGAGTGTATTTATGGAGTGTTAATTATTTACCACTCTAAATATCGTCAAACTAATGAAATATAAATTGATTAGTGAAGAAAATCAGCCTGGACAACTACGGAGCCCGCGAGGGGACATGGGGGATTTTTTTTCTTTTGCGTTCCCATGCAACACTATTGCGTTACCTCGCAATATCTTTGCATTACCACGCAAAAGTTTGTTTTGAATATGAAATGAATTAAATCAGACTTTTATTTTTGAAATATCTGGTTACCAAAACAGGATGTGTGTGTCACCACAGTTCGTGAAATTGACATTGATGTTGCGTGGCTGCACTGCATTAAAATATCAGCATTATGACACACGTCCATGTGTGGCTGTGTGATGTATTCATTCTGAAGCTGAATTAAAGCAGTAACTCGTTAATGGTGAACATGTGAATTTGTTGTTAAACTGGCAGGCACAACAGTGATAAACGACTTTTGTGAGGGAACGCAAAAGGTATTGCGAGGTAATGCATTACTATTGCGTGGGAACGCAAAAGAAAAAAATCCCATGTCCCCTCGCGGGCTCCGTAGAAAACAGCAGACTGACTGCTCGTAAAATATACCACAGGTCTGGACCACTTGTTAATTTGGTTTGTATCTGAAGAAAATCTTTGAGTAGTTTCAACCGAGTAGTTTACGTTTTATGACCATGGTTTGAATACTGTTTTAAGCTAGTCAGCTTGCCGATGACATCACGCCCTGAGGCCAGTGCCAGCACATTGCTGTGTGTGTGTTTGTGGAACAGCCAGCTAAGCTAAAGATATGCTAAAAGACTGTGAGAGAGACTGTTTTTGAGTTAAAGCCACTGTGTTATTTTGTTGAAATGAGTGTTTGGGCTTTTTTTTTTTGAGAATAGAAATATCAGACACCAGGACAGAAATGTGGTGCCTGAAATAAAACAATCTCATTCAGCATTATTCATACCAGAAACCTGGCGAATTTATATTCCCATCAATCCTCACAAAAACGTCTCAACAAATACTTGTAGAAATAAAAAGTTAATATAACACCAGAGCAGGTTTACAGAACCTAAAAATGGATTTGAATTCTAAGTATTGTCAAAACACATTTCTTTATTGATCCACAGAAATAAACTTGTAAAGCTGCTGGATCAGAACCAACCAATGACGAAAATGACTGTGACGAAGGTGATGATGTAAATTTCACACTAAGAAACAAACACAACAAGACGTTCAGAAATACATCTGCCTGCTTGTGTATAATATTCACACCATTTGGACCATCTGCTGTTTTCTATCTGAAGTGCTTTTTAAATGCTTGCAGTAGGAAGGTTGCCATGGATCCCTCAGCAAAGATAGTGCCTGTTTATCCAGACCTCTCTCCTACTTCCTTTGTTATCCTTCTCTGATTCTTGAAGAAAAAATAAATCTTCCTGCAGCTCAGAAGGTGTAGCCTGACGGGTTTGGGTTGCATCATGCCTTGGTGCTCTCTTGTGTTCTCTGTATGACAGTAGTTCCACCTCCTACCCCACAGATGACAGCTGACCCCTGAGAAGACCACAGAGGTCAGTGCCTGCTGTCTGGTGCCTGGACCATATATCCCACAGACTACATGGAAATGAACACGCTGTCATCAAAGTGAGCACAAATTTAGTCAGAGGAAACAAATAGCTATGGTAAGAAACAGCGGAAAAGAATAATTAAACAGTTTAAGTTGCTTTGGGTAAGTTTTGAAATGTTCTTAGGACCACTTATTTTCTTTCTTAGCATTTTAACTTCAAATTTGGGAAAAAAATATTTGATTTACTGAAGGAAACTTTGATTAACTGAATTTTAGATCAAGTTTTGTATTTTACATTTGGTGAAATTGCAATCAGTTTGCTTTAAACAGAGAGATTTAGCAAGTCTATCAATGTGTCCCACTCAGTAACATAAGCAAAGCTTGTTTAAGAGTCCAGTGTCTGACGTAAATAGTACTGACCCCAGGGTGTCACCTGGGTGTTCCATTATTACTGAGATATACCTATGACTTCAGAAGAGAAGAGACTTAGGACAAACCTCAACAGACCTAGTGTTAGTGACCTTTTTTTTGATTTGCTGATAAGACTCAGAGCAAAGCAGACAGACGGTGGACTCTGAACAATGAAATGGAGTTATAGATCTGAAGAATTTGGATTTTCAAAAGGAATCAATGTGGTTTTCTGCAAAATTATTCTGTCCGTTCGTCCATTTTCTTCCGCTTATCCAGGGTTGGGTCTCGGGGGCAGCAGCCTAACCCCGGATTTACACTACATGCGTCTCCGCTCCACTCTGCAGTTCGCAGCTGTTCGTTTGTGCCCCAATTTATACAGCCTTCCCCTCCACTTAGCTCCGCTCCGGTCTGACACACAGAGGAGGGAGGGTGTGCAGGAAGGAGATCGCGTGATAAATCCAGTGATGTGGAAGTCAGAGCAAAAAATAATTAATTCTGTGAAAGATGAACTCCAAACAGCTGAAAACAACAATATAAAGGCTTTTGGTATCTATGTTGAAACTGTATCGCCGTCGTCTTTCTGAAACTTCTGATTTCAAAACAACATCCACGTGTATCATGTGTGTACACAAATGCTTCATGCTGCATTTCCATCTGCTTCCCAAACAGAATGATACATTCTGACCACATTTGTGTAGAAAAATATCTGTATATTTATTAATATAGCTGCAATTTCGACATTCTGACAAAGTATTCCGCCGAATAGTGTCTTATTTTGAAAATATGGATGTTGTGCTCGTTTCTTTTCTTGTT